CGGGGTCAACCCCTGGCAAGGTGCTGAAGTTATGGCTCTTTTAACTTTGAACAAAATGGTACAAAACAACCCCCATGACTGTGGAGGTTACAGTACAATGGTTATTATCATGTAACAATGGTCAATGTTATTATTAACTTTTGTGATTTAAACCACAAAACTAACTAAGCTGAATTTTTATTTCCTCATTATCGAACCACAATTTCTCGAATGCTAAAATACGTATAATTCACTTATCTTAAATTAATAAAGATGCCTTCTCACATACATCTTGCAATTCTCAACTTCATTTGATATTTTGTAAAATAAATTTTAATAATCTAAAATACAGTTGATATGATCTGAAATTAACACGATGCTTTCTTTAGATTAAATCGATCGATTGTACCTATTATATCTATTGTAACTTAAGCTCATGTTGAAATTAGTCACTTTACGCCCTAGTTTTAAAATGTATTATAAATTGGTTATAATTCGATCATTTAGTTAGTCATCACGCCTTTTTTTATTTCGCCAAAATGAAAAAAAACACGTATCAACAAAGACACCAGCTGACTAAGAGAAATGAAAGAAGAATTATTGTACCTCACAAGCGGGCCCAGCAAAATGTTTATATGTTACGATTAATGTTCATATTTAGTCCAGTCAATGAATTATCCAAAAGTAGGTGTAGAGTGCGTGAGCAGGTAACTAAGCGATTCCTTCAGAAACTTGTTCAGGGGGCTTAGGGTGTTAACATACCAAAAGTCCTGACTCCTAGGTGGTGAGCCAGTGGGTGGAGGGGGGAAAAAGGGGGGGAAAAGGTACGCATTTTGGTTTTTTTATTATATCTCGAAAACTATCAACTTTTTGTATACTATAGTAAATTATAAAATTGAAGAAGATTAGATTTTCTACAAGAAAAGTATATAATGTGTTTATTTTGGTTCAACAGATTACGAGTTATAACTTATTTAATTGATATCTTATTAAAATACTCCTTCCATAAGAAATACATGTAAATTAGTATGCGAAATGGGGCGAATCCTATCCACCCAAAGGAAATATAACTGATATTCTGGAAATATTGACAAAATTTCCAGTAATTTGACACTTTAATCATGTAATTTTGTCAAAAATTAAAGCGAGGGTGAGCGTTTAAAAATGGGATGATTTAAGGATTTTTTTTATATTTCCAATAAAAAAACACCAAAACTCGAAATTTTGTTACCTCGCCCTCGCCTTAATTTTGGATCAATTTTAATGATTAAAGTGTCAAATTACTGGAAATTTTGTCAAGATTTCCAGAATATCATTTATATTTCATTTGGGCGGATAGGATTCGCCCCATTTCTCATACTCATTTACATGTATTTCTTATGGAAGAAGATTTTAATAAGATATAAATTAAATAAGTTATAACTCGTAATCTGTTTGAACCAAAATAAACACATTATATACTTTTCTTGTAGAAAATTTAATATTCTTCAATTTTATAATTTACTATAGTATACAAAAAGTTGATAGTTTTCGAGATATAATCAAAAAACCCAAAATGCGTACCTTTTCCACCCCCTTTTTCCCCCCTCCACCCCTGGCTCACCACCTAGGAGTCAGGACTTTTGGTATGTTAACACCCTAAGCCCCCTGAACAAGTTTCTGAAGAAATCGCTTAGTTACCTGCTCACGCACTCTACACCTCATTCCTTGACTGGACTAATTAAGTGTTTCATGACAGTTGTTAGTCCTGTTCTTCTGGCCGAGCAAGGGAAATGCTGCAGGTGTCACCTTTTCAATCCATTTATCTTTGAAATATTATTGAACGGCTTGCGAATTAACGGCTATTTTATTCTCCCCGTCAGATATACGGACTATATAACCTTTTGTGTTTATGGAAAGTTTTATGTCAGGATTTATAATGAATCTCATAAAACCATGTTTTGACGTTTAATAGTGTCACACCATTGTAACAGTACATAACTTACAAACCAACTAAAACAACTTGTTGAAGTATTTGAACATTTTAAACCAGTGCTTCCTCCAGATATTATCACTGGATAAATTAATCACAATTACACAAGGAAATATTTCATTGAACACCCCATGTTAACTCTCGTCAACCCGCCACCTCGCATGTAAGCGACAACGTGCCACCGCGTCAACCCGCCATCACTATTTTATGAGGTGGTGGGTTGTCGTGTACGCTCAATGTTCGGTGTCGTCAACCCACCACCTCGCACGTAGACGTCAACCAGCCACCACGTCAACCCGCCACCACACTAAAGAGGTGGCTGGTTGACGTGTATGAACACGTCTAAGCACCACCAGGACAACGTGCCACCACGACAACCCGCCACCACACAATTTTCCGAGGTGGCGGGTTGTCGTGCACGCTAGAGTCAACGTGCCACCCCGACAACGAGCCACCACGTCAACCCGCCACCTCAAACTTCTTCTTCTTTTTGATGGCGGGTTGACGTGGTGGCTGGTTGACGTGGTGGCGCCTTGGCGCGTTCCCCCGCCTTTAACTCCAGGCCGCGGCCTTCGAAGTGGCAACGTCGCAAGTAGTGTTGTAACAGCTATTTTGTTTGGAAGCAGCTAATTTGTGTATTTACGAAAGCTTGGTTACTAGACTATGAAAATATTTACTCCAATTTAAATGTACAAATATAGGTTTTAAATTCATATTGTTTTGGTTTTACATTCTGTATGTTTTATTTTCAATATTTTTATAAATTTATGTTCATAAATTGAACATAAATTTAAATCAATTAAATTCGGGTTAATGAGCTGATGTCACCTGTCTGTCATGATATCTTATGGGACGTCTGACACTAAACAACCCTACACTTGCAACGTTGCCAATTTTACCAGGCTACGGCCTTGTAGAATTAATTGGCAACGTTGCAAGTAGTGTTGTCTAGCGCCAGACGTCCCATCACCTAACAGGTGCCCATTTTATCACCAACACAGTGTTCAGTGTTGACATTTTTTCGTAGCCATATCGACCAATCGATTGTAAACCGACCGAACAGATCGTTTTCGATAACCAAACCAGTCAACCAGTGATCAACGTCGACAACCAACCATCGGTCCATCGACCGTTTTCTGCTGATGTCCCGCCAAACAAGAGCAAAGCCAAAGCCAATCCTCGCCTCCTAAATTGCACTCCTATCATAAAAAATATTTCTTGGGCTAGCCTAAGTTATTATTAGCACATACAAAATATATGACTTATGATTCTGAATTGTTATGTGGGTACTATATTCACTTTGCTGTTGGGTGGGATTGTTCAGTTAGTGAGGTCCTACATCTGACACTGTTGTGTATCGAAATATTTATTTAGCTTACATTTTTGAGTCAAGATGGGCTATTTATTATCTATTTTGTATCGAGAGTGAAATAGCCTATTGCATTGCTTAGTGGCCAAATAAATAATTGAAGCAAGTTAGGCCTATTTAAATAAACACCGAGATGGTTCATTAGAACGTATAGGCCTATCGTAAACGGTTTTAACTTTAAAACTTTCTATGAACTAATATATAATTAACAATAGTTATCAGTTTTAGGTTCGTTCCAGCCAGCATGTGAATTATTGAAATGTGCAATATATTAATCACCCTTGTGGCTGGAAAATGCTTTAATAATAGGCCATTAAGGCTGCTACAGTACTACGAAAAGACAAAAGTAATGTGATACAGACTTTCACTTGCTTTATTTTAGCTAGCTTGTGGGTAAGGGTGTAAAAGAGGACTAGTACAACACAATAAATAGTTCCTTCTCTTGAGTTTCGAGTCAAACTACCCCGTCGTATTTTGCTTCCCTACTTATTGGTGTTTAATACCTAGATTTCTCATCCTAATGGAACAGCTGAAGACAATTTTATTGTTAGTTCTGTACGGTTTATGTAGAGGTCGTGTTTTGTTTACAATTTGTTTCCCGTTAACAGTCATTTAAAACCTCGTTTAACCAAATAATACGATCTAATCACTGAGCTAAAATTATAACTGGAGGTAGCACTGCCATGGCAGAAGTCTGTCAAAAGCGAGTCGCTGATTTTGTTAGGTTGGTATAGCAGTAAGTTTTCTTACCATAGCAATAACATGGCTTCTTATAACTAGGTTGCATAGCAGTGAGTTTTTTTGTCATAACAATAACATGGCTTCTTATGGACACCTACCTCACGCAAACATGGCGGCTGGCGACACGCATCTTTGACATTCAGTGCTACCTCCAGTTAGAATTATAGCTCAGTGGATCTAATCATAAACAATAAATTGTCCCCAAGTTATTTAACCAAACAGTTAAGTACAAATCAAGAAATTAACCCTAAAATAATATAAACAAAATTTCGTCGACACCAGCGCCCAGTGTGGCGTACATGAACTAGACATGAAAAACGAGCTTCTAAATTTACAATGGGATGAGAAGTCTACTTATGTTGGTTAGTCTATGGTATTATCATAGATAAAACATACTCCCTTAGATAAAAGGTCAAAAAGATTCTTAGTTAGTTGTCAAATCATTATTTTAAAGGTTAGGTATACCCAAGACGCGTTATTTAAGTTAAATATAAGTTAATAGGGATAAAAGGCAGACTATAACATTCCGGCGTTAGTATTAAATTAAATTTAATAATTCATAATTTTTGTTTCCTCATTAAGTTTTACCATACGAGTATGTTTTATCTATGGTTTTACACCAGCACACTCTGTCAGTAGTTAAATTCAAACTACAGTACCTACATACCATACATTTTCTATAATTTAAACGTAAGAATGGATGGTCTATTTATATCTATAGTCAAGTTTTCACATGCATCTCCTTCCTTAATTTCCCACTAATTACCATGGATTAAACATACTTACTGCATATCCAAAGTAAAACCAAATGTTTTAATATTCAATGCTTTAAATCACTAAAACTTATTTAAATGTCTTTGACTCGCTCATTTTGCTTGTCTTTTGGTTTACGATTACGAACGACATTGACAATATTGACATCGTTCAACAACAACAACAGTGTCAAAGAGAGTTTGTTAAGGTTATGTGAATTGTGTATTTGTTTTCCCTAAAGGTTTTCAAATGTTAGGCATTTAAAATTTTATGAAATGATAACTTCCGTTCTTCCCTAAGTTGTGAGTTAGATCTTTATTAAGATTAGTAGATTGTAATAATAAATCAGACACTATCTAGGCATTTGATAAAACTGACCCCGAGAACCTGAACTGAATCACTTATCTCAATTTTTAATTAAGAGATAATTCTTACCTTTAAAAATACTTTACGTTTTTAAAAACCATCATTTATACAACCAAGACAGATAGGCTTAAATTCAATTGTAGCTATGTCGTCTAAACGTAAACTTGATGAAATGCTTGAAACAGAGTCTAAACGTAAACTAGATGAAATGCTTGAAACGGATTGGAGAAGCAAACCCATTCAAGAGACAAAACATTCTTTGGATTCTGATGAAGATGATGATGATAATGGAAAAGCTTATGACATTCTTGATGATGAACAGATCGAAGGTCAAGAAGATGGTGTTGCTGGATTTGAAGGTGGTATTCAGATTACACCTTTTAATATGAAAGAGGAAATGGAAGAAGGCCACTTTGACACAGACGGTATGTATCATTGGAAGAAAGATGAGAAATTAATCAAGGATAATTGGCTGGAAAATATTAACTGGGCAAAAATTCACACAAAGAAAGAAAAAGACAGTGAACTTCAAGATGATGACAGTAATGACTTGCCGTCTAGTGCCCCTAAGAAATTTGATGATATTTCTGTTTACAAGGAGATGCTACCTTTTATGAAACCCAAGGAAACAGTATCAAAAACTCTTCGAAGACTCGCTGGCAATAAAACAGTGTCTACTGCAGAAAGATGGAAACGCAAGAAAGCAGGAATCGACTCAACAAAGGAAGAAGAGGAGTCAAAAGAAAGAGTTTCCAAGTTAACTGAATTAGCTAACAAGATACTTCAAAATCTTGGTAATATGGATGTTTATCAAGAATCGTATGAGTATATATTAGAAAAAGTAGAAGCAGCCTCCAAGAAGGAAAGTGCAGCGAAGGCACCAGAGCTTGACATGTATGCTGATGATTTTGATTCAAAAGAAAAGGAAAGGCTAGATACAAAGGAGTCAGGGATGGAGTCTAAAACAGAACCAGCTAAACCTCCAGAAGACTCTGGTGATGTAACTTGGGAATATAAACTAGAGAAAGAAAGTGCAGAAATAAGTGGACCCCATACATCTGAGCAGATGTTAAAATGGACAGAAGATGGGACTTTCAAGAGTGAAGTATGGGTCCGTAAGTGTGGGCAGAATGAGTTTTACAGTTCAAGAAGAATCGATTTTGATTTGTACATTTAAACACACTTTAACTGACTGTAGATGAGAACTATTAAATAGCCTACTGTACATCTTATTATGCTTTGTAAGTAAATACTAACTATTCAACCCTTTGTTTGTGTGTTGTCTCTTGTTCACTATTAACGTTCACTTTATCCTATTTGGTTTTTTTTAGAAATAGGCTATATGAATTCTCTCAGAAAGCTGTAGGTAGCCTACTTAAAGCTTATTACAGCCTAAGTACCGGTAATGAAACTTTATATTCTGTACTCAATACCACGTTTACCGTTCAGTAGCTTACTTATGGGAAGTAAATAAGTAAACATATATTATTTTCCGGTAATAACTGTGCAGTATAAGGCCCAACTTCAATCACTTTAATAAGTTAGGTTAGCCATGTCTGGCAGTATCTTATTTTATTCACTAGCCTTTGAAATCCTTACAGTATTTTAAATGTTGTTTGTTTCCAGACACAAAAACTAAAAGTGATGAATTAAAGCACAAGTCAGTGTTCTGAAGGCAGTTTGGACGAGTCCCTTAGCTGTAACAGATGTTGATACCTATAGGCCTATGATCAAACAAAAACTAGGCCATATGTAGGCTGGGTGAATTAGGCTTAATTATAAAAGTTTGAAAAGTAGCTGGCATTAAGTGAGCCCTGACTAAATGAGTTTTGGTTTAACCAAGGGACTGCTGTAAGCCAGAACATAATTTTTGTTTTGCAAATAGGCCTAACTGAAACAAACATATTTGGGATAGTCTTACTACGCACATTAACTTAAAAATAACTTCTTGATCAGCATTGGTACGTGTTATTAAAGTAAATAAAATGAACGTCTTTTAACAATTAAAACATGTATTTACGCTTATACTGTTACTCACAAGACGGTAAATATACAAAAAAGGTAAGTGGGGATCGATTTCGATTGGACACTCCAACCATCTTTTTTTTTATATTTACCGCCTTGAGAGTAACAGTATAAGCTTAAATATATGTTTTAAGCGTTATAAGACGTTTCTTTTATTTACTTTCCGTACATTAACTTACTACAACTTAGCCCAGCCATTCCCAAACTACGGAGCCAGAGGAATTTTGGTGGGTCATGGGAAGAGACCAAACATTTTTTTCAGGACTCATAATTTTGTATCTCCAGAACGCTCTTTTGAGCACCAGAATAGTACCAAGTGAGTTTTCTATATTGTGATTAAAGAAAATTTGTTCAACATTTTGGTGACCAAATATTGCCACAATAGGCAAAGGACGAACCAAGCCCATTCGTTTTTGGGCCACTCTTAAGGGGACGCGGACGTGGAGATGATCACAATGTTAATGTGAACGAGGGAGATGATTACGAAGTGACCATGATCATTGGAGATGATCACTGTTCAGCTTAGTAACTACCGCGATTACGGAATATAGTTAGGACGGATTGGCAAACAATTTACTAAACAAACTTGTAAACTTATGAAACGTACGGTTCTTTATACTTCTAGCTTTTTTTAAACTTGAGTTTTTGTAGTAAAATCAGTGGGAAGACTTAATTTAACTTAATTGGGTCGTAAAAACATATTTGTGATATAGTGGCTAACCTTCTTAAAAATTATATACAGATATAGGATGTAGGCATACAAAATGCCCAACACATACCTAGTAGTAGTCAGCATTCAATCCACATAAAGTCTCTTTTATTTAATTAGTACCGATAGGCGTAAATTTCAGATAGGCTATAAACAATTCAAAGTTTCTCAAACAATAGTGTTTTGGACTAGATGTGTTACTTTTAATAACATAAACCTCACAATTTCCATTTGGTAGGTCGTGGAAAAAATTCCAAGGTGGTGGTGGGTCGCCAGACCAAAAAGTTTGGGAACCGCAGACTTGGCCATTTGGCTTACCGTACTAAGTGATGACACATCTGCAGTTTTAACAGGAATGTAGAAGGATAGGCAAGGCCTGTCTGATTTGGTCACTGAAAAATTATTTGTATGGAAGAATCACAAACACTTAACACTCTTAAGGAAAAGAAATACAAACCTCTCAAATGTCTGTAGAAACATCAAGCAAGAATCAAACCCGTCCCTCTCACTGAATTTGAGGATGCTAACGAAAAGTCCAGCAAAACACTGTGGTTGTGTAAGTAGAGTAGAAAGGGTAGTAAAAAAGATTTAAAATCAGTAACATTTTAGTCAGGTTAGGAATGTTTAATTAGCATCTATTTATTTGCTGTAATCTCTTTTTTAAACAATCAGGCCTATATCTTACTAATTGCCATTATTTTGGACTCAAGTTAAAAATAGCATGTCTCAAAACTCATTTCTTGACTTATGTCGGACGTTCATAGTTTTGTGTTATTGGTATTGTTCATCGAGAGCTGTTTGCTCTCATACTTCCACTTTTACCCAAATTATTCACATCACCGAGAAACTCGCTTATGGGATGACCGTGCATCTTAATCTCTAGTATGTTATGCCGGAAATATACTTGTGACGGGTAAGGAAGAGCCCGAGCTAAGAGTACTATGTGGAAATTCTTATCACATAGGGTACGGTACAGGGTCTTCTTCCACCATGAGAGTTGTAGTACATGAGGCAAGGGGCTGGTTTTGGACTTTGTCCTGGACACCAGCGACTGTGAGGTCACTTGCAGACCACCATTGCAGCTACTCAGTCAATTTTTTAATGTAGCCTAAATTAGTAAAGTTTGGTATCTGTTTTTGGCAATTATTTTGTTGCAAAAATAAGATGTGCAACTATCCGTGTGAGATAACTCATATTTCTTAAGGCATCCTTGCAATTTTCAACTATTTGAGCTCCAAAGGCACGTATATTTCATATCATTAAAGCGAGATAAAATGTGATGTTCCTGATCCCGATGCATATTATATAGGTTCTAATAAATGTAGGTTTACATGTTTGTACTAAATTTAATCAAAATCGGATGATTTTTGCTCAAGTTATGGACACATGGATTTATAAATTTGTAGTGATGGTGTTTTTGGCCTCTGGGGGCATCAAAACAAAAAAAAAATCAGTTCCAGGTCTAGGTCTTACCATGAGACCTACGGTAATATCTTTTATAGGCTATTCGATAAATATTCCCTTTATGGGCAATTCGCTAAAAAGACCCATAACACAAGGCACCAGCAACAAGGTATCACTGATTTCTGAATTACTCACTATCCCCAATAAGCTGGAAGTGGTTAGGCTAATTACTCATAGCAACTAATAAGAATTGTAATACAATAGTACCGCACCGCGGCAGTTAGTCAATGATATGTGTGTCTTTTGTTAAATGTGTCCTCAGGGCAGAGCCGATTTACCAAATAGGCAAGGTAGGCACGTGCCTAGGGCGCGAGGCAATTGGCTTTTTTGGGGGGCGCCAAAAAATTGGGAAGTAAAATATTTTGTGGTTGTATTTGCATACGATCACGTTAAAACTCTGATAATCCCTCACGGCCGTGTAGACATCATAATAATTGTCTCCCGTGATTGCGGCAAAATTCTGACTATTTTCTGCTGTCGTGTAGACATAATTATCGTCTTCCATGATCGCGGAAATATATGAACATATCCCGCGGTCGTCAGGAGATTATCATCGTCTACCGCGAACGAGGCAACATTCTGATCTTTCCCCGCGGTCTTGTGGACATTATCATCGCCGTGCACAATAGCGGTTAAATTCTGACCACCACTCGCGGCCTTGAGGACATCGTTATATCATCCCCCGCTGCCCCGCGGTCGTGTGGACATAGTAGTTGCCTCCCGCGATTGCGGCAAAATGGTAATCATCACTCTGTGACGCATAGCGGCACGCTATATTTTTTATAGTGTGTGCAGTTCGCGAAGCCGGGCTGCATGTTCATCTCGTTGCCTGCCGCGACTGCATCAATGCTCCATCCCCACCTTTCCTAGTTTTGTCCTCCTTCTTCGTCAACCTTCATCTGGACGGAAAACCTCTCCGGAAAACACCAGGCATTCTCTCGATATGATGGATAAGTTAATTGATAGTTAATAAGTAGTAATAAGTTCAAATTATGGTTGGCTAAGTCAGGTAACTAGCGGGGAGCCCTTCTGGCTCGCCCGACTGGTGAAATGTAGGAAACAAAATGTTAGCCGGGTTCGCTACCCTTAAGGTAGCGGACCTTCTCAAACCTGTTAGTTAAACCACATGTTCCCAGAATGTAGCTTAGCAATTATCCATCAATTTCATACATATTAGCCACTCAATATTCAATCTACATATTATTTTCCCTCACTCATCAATATTAGTAAGTAATTTCCCAAGTTCAGTTCATAGTTTGAAGGATAGGTTAATATTTAAATAGTTAGTTCAATTGGTTCAATCAAAGCTGGCTAGGCAAGTGTTCTGATCTGGGTAAAAGGTCTCCGTCCCTCTGGTCCCCAGCAATCTTCCTAATTTTATTGGTAGCAGATTCAGCACGCTTATGTTAAGTTTGGTCCAGACACACCTTCTCCTAACCTATTACATTACCCGGTTTATTCCCTCCTGATTACCCTAATTTCCCTCCTCCATCCCATACCTTAACTTGCACAGATGTCAGATCAGTAATCCAACGCCTCTGCGACTCAGGACTAACTGTCAATCCGGAAAAGATCACAGTAGCCTCCAATAAAATTCAGTTCCTTGGCCATGTTTTTTCCAATCACACTATTTCCATCCACCCTGACAGGACACGACCAATAGATGAATTTCCCATCCCCAAGAACATCAAACAGTTGTCCCGCTTCCTAGGAATGACAGCCTTCTACGCCCGTTTTATAAAAGATTATGCATCAATAACGGCACCTCTGAATCAGCTAAAGAAAAAGGGTGTCCCTTTCGTTTTTGGCCCCGACCAGATCACAGCCTTTCAAGCCTTAAAGAAGGCATTGGTTTCCTCCACCATCCTCCGCATGCCCGATTTCAACCGTCAATTCGTTGTCCACACGGATGCTTCCGGCTCATCAATCGGAGCAGTCCTTCTTCAGCCCCATGGTGATCAGTTGTTCCCGGTTTCCTATGCTTCCCGAGCTCTAAATAAGCACGAGCTCAACTACTCTACACTTCAACTCGAATGCCTTGCAGTAGTCTTTGCCTTGCAGAAATACCATC